CGCTCGGGCACACAGAGGCCCCAGCCGGTGGTTTCTGGCGACACTTGTCAGCAACACCCATCTCCGCTCCACTTGAGAAACCAGCCTGAAGGTCCAAATCCTGCTAGGGGCCCAGGTTTGCTCTGACTGCTGCCAACATCAACCAGTGGAACAGCCCAGGATTTAGCCCAGGTAAGGCAGAGCGAGCGGTGCAAGAGGACGGTCACATCCCCTGGACCTGTCCCTCCATTCCCCGAGCACCACAGCCACCCCACACAGATGATGAGGAGGTGGGGGGAGCTGCTGCCAAACCGGAGCCCCCACAGGTGCTGGCACCCAGACAGGGGCAAGGCAGTGGAGGGTGCTCCCATATTTTAGTGTCTCTAAAGCTTCCTTTTCCATGCCCGTGTGCTGCCAGTGGCAGGGAGGGGCAGGGTAGGGAGAGGGTTTTGTTTTCTGGTTTCACCATAGGAAGGATTTTCAAACCCTATAAATTTACTTTTGACAAGTGAACGGCTAAAGCAGATTAACCTTTTTGCTAATCCTCTATAATGGCTTTGGAATCTCCTTAACCAATAAGAAAATGATAAGAGCCTGTTTCTTTTCTTTTTATCTATATCTATATTGTCCTCCCTTGTCTGCATTCTTTTTCTTTCTTGTTTTATTTTCCTTCCCTTTTCTAATATGAAATAGCCCAGCGATCCTATCTCCCAGAGGCTCAGTAAACAGAACATCAATAATCCCTTTCCTTTATTCCTCTCTGGTAACAGGTGCAGAGAAGGGTCTGCCGATTGGGATTTGATTACCAGCAGCTATCAGAAGTCTCTTTGTAAGATCTAGGTCCTAAATCCCGTAATTCTTTGATAAAAGAAGTATTACCAGTCCATTTTCTGAAGTGAAAGGTATGAGAGGACTGAAAGAAAGCAATCAGCAGAGATCCTAATAGGCTAAGTGCCTGTGCGGTGGGAAGGCAGAGACAGGCAGGGGAGGCCGGGGAAAGGCACCCTTTGTTAAAGGTGGAAGGAGAATTAATCTGCTTCGGGTGTAGGATTGTTACAGCCAAGAGCAGAAAGGGTCGGATCCTGTGCCTGGCCACAGCATGTCTGCCTTGCCTGGACCAGCCCGGTATGGGGAGCAGAACCTGGTCCCACATCCACCTCCTGTGTCAGCGGCTGGGTACGTGCAGAGAAGCTGGGAGCAGTTTGCGAAGATTCATAGACCATGGTTAGAACTTAGGCGACACCAGAAAAGAACGGGGACTGAGAGGGGGTTCTCTGGAGACTGGCTCTCATTTCTGCATGATACTGGAGGGGCTGCTGGGCTCTTGAGCGTGGAGTCACAAGGTGCCACGAGGACCTTTGATGTACCATGGTTTCACAGCACTCACCTCTGTGTCTCCTTAGTGTTCCATGGGCAGGACTGGTACCTTCTCTCCCCTGCAAAGAGACACCAAGCAGAAGAGCATTCTCCATGTGAGCTCCTGAAGCCTTGCTACTCACCTTGGCTTAAACCATACCGAAGGCAAGAGAATTTGGGTATAAACTTTCCTAAGAAACCTGAGCTCAACCACACCTTCTCTATTTTAAACCCAGCTACTGATTTCAGTTACGAAACCAAGATGGAAGATGTCCTCTCTCCTCCCGCAGATCCCATCTGCCAAGCCTTGCTGTTTGCCCTCAGGAGGGTTGGTGCCATGTGTCCCTTCCCACCCAGAATCACCACTCTCAGTTGTAGCCTCGCCCCAGTTTCTTTAGCTGGACAGAAGACGTTGGGACTTGAACTGACAAAGTTTTGGAGGAGCCTGGCTGCCCCAGAGAGCTGTCTTGGAACGTTAGCCCTGGCACAGAGACCACGCTCCTGCCCGAGCTGCTGCAGGACCTCCCTGTCTGCCTGCGCAGGGGGCAGTGACACTCCCCTTCCGACACCGAGCAGGGGTACAGCTCAGCTCTACAGGGGGTGGCTACTCAACACTAAGCTATGTCACAGAGCTGCTGCAAGCTGCCAGTAATCTAATTTATTAGGGCTTTGAATCCTTACAAAGAGTATGTTGAGCACATGTAAAGCATCTGCATTATCACTGTGATTAGGGCAGCGGAGGTGGGGGAAAGGGGAAGGAGGGAAAATACAATTTCCTTGCTTTCAGCAGAAAATAAATCAACTTTTACAGAGGATTCTGGTGCAGCCAAAGGCTGTGCTATCATTAAACATAATTTTTTATTAAGCTGAACTTTCTCCTCTCTCATATTGTATGATATGACAGCTCTCTTTTGATGGGAAAGCTTTCATTTGGGCAGAGAAAGGGATAATTTGCTTCTTTTAAGGAGCTAATCCTCTGGTCTGTTTCCGGGCTGGGAACAACTATCCTCCCCCTTCCTTGGATTGGAGGCTGCAGCACAATGGATATCATAACCACCTCAAATCTACACCCGAGATGGAGAAATCAGATTTCCTTCTCCAGTCATTTTTGTGGGATTAGCTAAATCTTAGATCCACACTAACCCTTCACAAAGCTGCCAAGATTAGTTAGAATTTATTTTATTCACAGGGGGTTTATGGTTTTCTTTCCATAGGGATTATATCTATCTATATATATTTAGGGTGGCTTCAGTCATAAAGCAGCTAGGTTAGAAGGAGAAAAGGCGTGTATGTGTATAAAATAAAAACTTGGCTGCCAGAATGACAGTCACTTGAAAAGCCAAGACAAAGCAGTGACTGTGGATGGCTTTGCCAGCCCATTTTAAAAGCTATGTAAGGTGTCTTTTTCCTTGCAAGACCCCACTCCGGAGTTAGCGCAAGGAGAGCAAACGCCTGAGCTCAGTCTGAGCTGCTGGCTCCTGCGGCCACTGGTGCCGGCAGAGGATGGCCTCGGAGCCAGCGCTGGATGCTGATGCCAGCAGGAGAGGCCTCAAGAAGCCGTGCTCATTCAGCATCGAGGACATCCTCTCCAGCCCGGCGGAGAAAAACCCCCAGGTACTGATCCCGCTGTGCCTCCGGAGCATCTTGGACTGTGCACCCAAGGGGCTGTGTGAGCTGGAGACCATCCCGGGCAGCTCCCTGCAGGAGGAGGTGGAGGAGGAGGAGGAAGAGCTGGAAGGGGCAGGCTGCAACTGCTGCTGCTGTTCTCATACCAGTGCCCATCCCCTGCAGGACCCGCCAAGTTGGCTGGGTGAGTATCTGGGTTTGATTTACAGCGTAGGGCTGGTGGGGGGGCTGGTGCCAGCACCAGGTGGAGGGGAAAACTTGGGCACTGAGTGACAATATAGCATCTGGACTGCCACCACGGTGGTCTCGGATTGCAGCTTGAGGGAGCTGGGGTCTCTTCTCAGCATGGCTCCCAAGGGCAGGCACTTTTACCTGCAAAGCTACGGGGGGTTTTAAAAGCACCAGGTGTTATTCATTACGGATATCACTAGATTAGTGTAAAACACTTGGAGGATGCTTCCAGGGCTGGAAGTTCTCTGTGGGCTGTGGGGCCCCATGATCCTGTTGCTCATGCGCAGAGCTGTGCCTGTGCTTCCTGACAACACCAGCCCTGGGGAACATCATGTGTCCTTTAAGGAAAAGAGGTTTTGGCTACATCTAGCAAAAAATTAAATAAAAGGGTAGCAAACCCTTAAAAATGCAGTTCCAGTGCATCTTGAAGGTTCAGAAATCCCTTGTCAGGACGGAAACGCAGCTCCTCGCCGGGCTGTGAGGTTCCAGCTATTTTCTGGAGCTGGCCATGGCGCAATTGGTAAGTAAACAGGGAAAACCCAAACGGTGCTCCCCACCTGCACACTTCTCCCGATGTGATGCTCTAAGCCCTTCTCTTGCTTGCATGCTGATCACACAGCTCATCACCCACACCACCCTCCTTCCAAACAACATGTGTGGATGGAACTTGTGCCTGAACTGCCTTGAGCGAGGCGGGTGTTTCAGCCCCCCACCCCTATTGCTGCCGCTGTACTTCTCCCCTTGCAGATGCCCGGTTTCCTTGGCCCATGCGGCTCTTCCACTCAGCAGTCAGGGTCTGTAAGAGTCCCCAGGGGAACCCAAGCGAGCTGCAGACTTTCCACCAGATCCAGCGTCGAACACGCCGGCATCGCACCATATTCACTGAGGACCAGCTGCAGGCGCTGGAGACACTTTTCCATCAGAACCAGTACCCGGACGTCATCACCCGCGAGCACCTGGCAAACCGCATTCACTTGAAGGAGGAGAGGGTAGAGGTGAGATCCTGCCACTCAGCAAGGTGCTAAGAACACAGACCAGAGCACTGCCCTGTCTTTTTTGGGAGCTGCAGACCCAGGGCCTCGTTTTAGGAACTATTCTTGGATATTTGGCAAAAACAGTTTAGGCATGGCAGACAATGGAAGAATAGAAACCAGTTCTGCTGGGCTGCTTTGTTCTGGTGTCTGGTCCCATAAACTCACGCCCTCTCTCCTATATAAACACACAGACAATTCTGCTCATCCTCTGCAGCCAAGTGTATATTCTTTATTTATACGACCTGCATGACTTCTGAATTTGCCGAGGGGGGCTCCCAGCTCCTTTGTGCCCCAATCTTAGCAGGATTGCAGGGGAGGGACTCATTAAATTTTGTATCAAGCTTCTATACTGGGAAATGTATGACAGTATTGTAAAGCGTATGCTGTACAGTCCAGTACTGCCCGCTCCCCTCCAAGCAACACATGAAATGCAAAAGCTCTTTCCTTGTTTTGCGCTTTCTAGGTTTGGTTTAAAAACCGTCGGGCCAAGTGGCGGCATCAGAAGAGGGCGTCTGCTTCAGCGCTGATCCTTCAAGGCACCAAGAAGCCCTCCGAGGACAGCTGTTAGTGGTCGCAGGCTGCTTCTCAGCAGATCAGTACCAAGAGCATCCATTTCCCATAGCTGACAGGTTGTGTAGAGGGGTAACCCGAGGGGGACTAATGAAGCAAAAGGGAATCTGTGACTCCCAGATGAGGAGCACAGGTAAAAGCAGACATGAAACTTTCATGTCCCAGTTTCTCTTCCAAACCAAGTTCATGTGGCAAATAACTCACTAGGCATGATCCTCGGATGCTTAAGCAGAATCCACTGCCAAAAGCCTGAGCGGGGGACAGAGCAGTGCCAGTGTTACGTGTGTGTGCGTCGAGAGAAGGGGAGATGCCCCTTCTTGTCTTTGCTCTGTGTGGGTACTATTTGTGCTTGTTTTACTACAGTAGATTTGCAAAATATCCTGCAAATGAACGTTTCCTATTTTCCTCACCTTGACCACATCTAGAGTTGCTTTTGGGGTTGAGCTTCCTCGATCAGCAGATTTGCTCCTTAACGAAAGAACACGGTGTGACCTGCTCCCGGTGACCCTGCTCTGTCTGGGGTTGGACGAGATGATCTTCTGAGGTCCCTTCCA